CCCCCACAGCCTCCAGCCCAGGCCTCCCCCACAGCCTCCAGCCCAGGCCTTTCCCCACAGCCTCCAGCCCAGGTTTCCCCACAGCCTCCAGCCCAGGCTCCTCCCCCACAGCCTATAGCCCAGGCCTCCCCCCACAGCCCCAGCCCAGGTTTCCCCCACAGCTTCCACCTCAGGCTTCCCACAGCCTCCAGCCCAGGTTTCCCACAGCTTCCACCAGGCCTCCCACAGTTCCAGCCCAGGCCTCCCCCACAGCCTATAGCCCAGGCTCTCTCCCCCACAGCCTCCAGCCCAGGTTTCCCCACAGCTTCCACCAGGCCTCCCCACAGCCTCTCCAGCCCAGGTTTCCCCACAGCTTCCACCAGGCTCCCCACAGCCTCCAGCCCAGGCCTCCCCCACAGCCTATAGCCCAGGCCTCCCCCACAGCCTCCAGCCCAGGCTTCCCCAGGCCTCCCCACAGCCTCCAGCCCAGGTTTCCCACAGCCTGGCAGCACAGGCTCTCCCCCACAGCCTCCAGCCCAGGCCTCCCCCACAGCCTCCAGCCCAGGTTTCCCCCACAGCCTCCAGCCCAGGCCTCCCCCACAGCCTCCAGCCCAGGTTTCCCCCACAGCCTCCAGCCCAGGCCTCCCCCACAGCCTGTAGCCCAGGCCTCCCCCACAGCCTCTAGCCCAGGCCTCCCCCACAGCCTCCAGCCCAGGTTTCCCCCACAGCCTCCAGCACAGGCCTCCTCACAGCCTCCAGCCCAGGCCTCCCCCACAGCCTCCAGCCCAGGCCTCCCCCACAGCCTCCAGCCCAGGTTTCCACAACTCCTCCAGCCCAGGCCTCCCCACAGCCTCCTCCAGCCCAGGTTTTCCCCACAGCCTCCAGCCCAGGTTTCCCCACAGCCTCCAGCCCAGGCCTCCCCCACAGCCTGTAGCCCAGGCCTCCCCCACAGCCTCCAGCCCAGGCCTCCCCCACAGCCTCCAGCCCAGGCTTCCCCCACAGCCTCCAGCCCAGGCCTCCCCCACAGCCTCCAGCACAGGCCTCTTACAGCCTCTAGCCCAGGCCTCCCCCACAGCCTCCAGCACAGGCCTCCCCACAGCCTCTAGCACAGGGCCTTCCCCAGAGCTCTCCAGCACAGGTTTCCCCACAGCCCTCCAGCACAGGCCTCCCCACAGCTCCTCCAGCACAGGCCTCCCCCACAGCCTCCAGCCCAGGCCTCCCCCACAGCATTGACCACCTGCTCATTGTGTCCATGAACACTTCAAAAGCAACATGTCAGAAAGGGGAAAATACCTCCCCTGTCAACCTGCATGCACTTCTCAATCCTGTCACCTTGGTTGCTGGCTGTAGCCTCAGTTCAGGCACCTGCACTGGAAACCAGCAAGTCATCTCTCCCCTTGGTGCCTCTATAGACCTCCTCTGTGATCGCTTTTTTTCCCAGCCCTCCTTCCCTGACAAAGCTAACCTGGTCCCTCCAGGAATCCTCTGGCCTCGGTTGGGCCCGGTTCCTCTCTGCATTTCTGTGTGCCCATTTGGCATACAGTACATCATATTCTGGACTGGCTGTGAGTGCCTTCCAGGCAGGGAGTGCCATAGCAATCATGGATCCTTGGTCACTTGCACACAGTAGGGCGCTGTCAATGTTTGGAAAACAAATGAGTGGCTGAGCAGGGTCCCTTTGCAAGTGATGGCTTTAGCTATTTGGGTGACTGTTTTTCTTTATACTCTTCTGAATGTATTCAAATTCCTCACAGTAAGTAGCTATCAGATACTTTTATAATTTTTTATGGCACAATGTTTATAAATAAAAATTAGCATTTTAATCCTTTTTAAGTGTACAATTCAGTGGTATGGCATAAAGTACATTTACGTTGTATTATCAGCACCGTTCATTGTCTCTAGAACTTTTTTTTTTTTTTTGAGACAGTCTCGCTGTGTCACCCAGGCTGGAGTGCAGTGGCGTGATCTCTGCTCACTGCAAGCCTCGACCTCCCAGGCTCAAGTGATTCTCCTACCTCAGCCTCCCGAGTAGCTGGGGTCACAGGCATGGACCACCACACCAGGCTAATTTTTTGTATTTTTAGTAGAGACAAGGTCTTGTTGAGAGGTGACAACGTGCGAGCAGCCCTTGCTCGCTCTCGGCGCCTCCTCGGCCTCGGCGTCAGCTCTGGCCGCCCTCGAGGAGCCATTCGGCCCGCCACTGCGCTATGAGGACCCCTTTCTGGGGCTGGCCGAGGCCGGAGTCTACTCCCTCTGCTCGAGGGGAAGTGTGAAGAGAGAGGCGCGGGCGGGAGCCGGGACTGCGCGCTGCGCTCCCCACGGGTTTCAGGTGAGCGCGGGCTCAGCAAGCCCTGCTGGGCTTGATCGGAGCCTCCGCTGGGCTTGATCGGAGCCTCCGCTGGGCTTGATTGGAGGCGCCGTTCCCTCTTCGCAGGTTAGTTGACCAGGATAGCAGGCCTCTCTCTCTTTCACACTTCCGCTCTTTTTCTCTTGATTGTCTGCGATGAGCTCCTTCTGGGCTGCCGCAGTGCCCAGGTGTGGCAAATTCCCGTTTGGCGAGTACCAGTGAGAGGTGAAGCCGGCTGGGCTTCTGGGACAGGTGGGGACTTGGAGAACTTTTTTGTCTAGCTAAAGGATTGTAAATGCACCAGTCAGCACTCTGTGTCTAGCTAAAGGTTTGTAAACGCACCAATCAGTGCCCTGTCAAAACGGACCAATCAGTGCTGTGTCTAGCTAATTGGGTGGGGACTTGGAGAACTTTTCTGTTTAGCTAAAGGATTGTAAACACACCAATCAGCACTCTGTGTCTAGCTAAAGGTTTGTAAATGCACCAGTCAGCACGCTGTCAAAATGGATCAATGCGCTCTCTGTAAAACGAACCAATCAGCTCTCTGTAAAATGGGCCAATCAGCAGGATGTGGGTGGGGCCAGATAAGGGAATAAAAGAAGGCCACCCTGAGCTAGCAAGTCGCAACCCATTGGGGTCCCCATCCTCGCTGTGGAAGCTTTGTTCTTTTGCTCTTCTTTTGCTCCTGGCAATAAATCTTGCTGCTGCTCACTCTTTGGGTCTGTGCTGCTGGAACACTGACTGTGAAGGTCTGTAGCTTCACTCCTGAAGTCAGCCAGACAATGAACCCACCGGCAGGAACAAACAACTCCAGATGTGCCGCCTTTATGAACTGTAATGCTCACCGCCAAGGTCTGCAGCTTCGCACCTGAAGTCAGTGAAACCACGAACCCATCAGAAGGAAGAAACTCCGGACACGTCCAAACATCAGAAGGAACAAACTCAGGACACACCGTCTTTAAGAACTGTAACACTCACCGCGAGGGTCTGCGGCTTCATTGTTGAAGTCAGTCAGACCAAGAACCCACCAATTCCGGACACGTTGTGATGTTGTCCAGGCTGCTCCTGACCTCCTGAGCTCAAGCAATCCTCCTACCTTGGCCTCCCAAAGTGCTGGAATTACAGGCATGAGCCACTGCGTTGGCCCTCTAGAACTTTTTCTTTATCCCAAAGTGAATGCAATACCTCTCCATTCTCTTTCTCTCTCAGTCCCTGGTAAGCACCATTCTGTTACTGCAAAGGGGTCCCAATGCAGACCCCAAAAGAGGGTTCTTGGACCTTGTGCAAAAAAGAATTTGGGGCAAATCTATAAAGTGAAAGCAAGTTTATGGTAGAGTAAAGGAATAAAGAATGGCTGGCTAAGGTCAAGCGCAGTGGCTCACGCCTGTAATCCCGAAACTTTGGGAGGCCTAGGTGGGTGGATCACTTGAGGCCGGGAGTTCAAGACCCACCTGACCAACATGGTGAAACCCAGTCTCTACTAAAAATACAAAAATTAGCCGGATGTAGCGGCGCACGCCTGTAAAACCAGATCCTTGGGAGGCTGAGGCAGGAGAATGGCTTGAACTCAGGAGGTGAAGGTTGCAGCGAGCCAAGATCACACCACTGCATTTCAGCCTGGGTGACAGAGTGAGACTGTCTCAAAAAAGAAAAAAAAGAATGGCTAGCTATTTTTATGGTTATTTATTTATTATATGCTAAACAAGGGGTCGATTATTTATGACTTTTCTAGGAAAGGGGTGCGCAATTCCCAGAACTGAGAGTTCCTCCGCTTTTTAGACGCTATAGGGTGACTTCGTGATGTTGCCATGGCACCTGTAAACTGTCATGGTGCTGGTGGGCGTGTCTTTTAGCACTAATGCATTATAATTAGCATGTAATGAGCAGTGAGAGCGACCAGAGGTCACTTTTGTGGCCATCTTGGTTTTGGTGGGTTTTGGTCAGCCTCTTTACCACACCCTCTTTTATCAGCAAGATCTTTAGGACCTGAATCTTGTGCTGACCTCCTATCTCATCCTGTGACTTAATGCCTAACCTCCTGGGAATACAGCCCAGTAGGTCTTGGCCTTATTTTACCCAGCCCCTATTCAAGATGGAATCGCTGTGGTTCAGATGCCCCTGACAATTCTACTTTCTGCCTGTGTGAATTTGACTACTCTTAAGATACCTCATGTAAGTGAGATTGTATAGTATTTGTCTTTTGTGACTGGCTTATCTCACTTAGCATGTCTCCAAGGTTCATCTGCGGTGTGGCATGTATCAGAATGTTCTTTGTTAAGGGTATGTAATATAGTCCATTAAAAGTATGTACTCCATTTTGCTTATTCATTCATCTGTTGGTAGACATTTATGTTATTTCTACCTTTTGTGAATAATGCTGCTGTGAACATTGGTGTGCAATTACCTATTCGAGTTTCTGCTTTCAGTTCTTTTGGGAATATACTTAAAACTGAAATTGCTGGATCATATGGTAAAAATTACTTTCAAATGTAGAAACATTTTAAATACTTTCAAAACGGTCATTTTGATGTAAACAAAAGATCACCTTAAGATGCCAGGTGACATAGAAATGCAGGATGAAATTTCAGCCTTTTGTTCTTGCGACTTGTTTGATGATCCTTGGTGACATGAAATGATTTGTTTTTCAAGTGTGGTTTTGATTTTTTTCTTACAGCATCAAGCTGCTAGCTGTGCAAGAACTGCTTGACAGAGAGGCTTTGGAAAAGGTAAATATTTTACTCTTCCTTCTACATTCACAAACCAAGAACAGAGGGCCACACATAAGAAAAATTCAACTCCCTGTCACCAGAGACAGCCCCTACTGAAAAGACGGTCAGTTATTTTGTATTCCTGACAGTCATGCAGAATTTTAACCTCAGCCCCCTACCTTGCTGACATTGTGTTCACGCCTACAAACTCTGGGTTGTGTGGGGGCTGTGCGAAAGGCAGAGGCTCGCACTGCAGGGGGCCATGCTCTGGAGGAGGCTTTCTGTGCTTTCAACCATTAGGAGCCAGAGGCCTCACACGTTCCGGAGTCTGTGCTGGCCACCTCACTGCATTTCTGCTTGCTGTGTGTTGTTATCTGTAGGGTATAGGGATGATGGAATTGAGACCCAGTGACTTGCCCAAGGCAAATGAACTAAGTAGAAGAGTGATGATTTGAATCCTGATAGTTCCATTTCCAAAACCAGTACTTCTCTATTCAGTAGTCAAGTTCATGAGTTTTTATCTCTTTTTAGGCTACTACTGAGGATTGGGAAGCTGCCTCCCTGCCCCCAAACTAACATTTTTTAGCAGAGATGGGGTTTCACCATGCTAATGTTTCACTGTGCCCTGGAAGAGCCCCCCAACGTTTCTCAGCTTTCTATGTTCAAGTCAAGCCTGGGGTTGGGGATTTTTTGCCAGTTGTGGGTTTAAGTTTGGCATGCGTGGTGGGGTGGGCTCCACAAAAAGGGCTGGGTGGGCACCGAGGAAGCCAGGGCCCCCTACTTGCCCATCAGGGGCCTACCAACTGATACCAAGCTCTCAGACCCTGGGGAGCTCAGGACTCTTCCTGCATGTGTAACTGCAGTTGATAATTAGCATCTGTGATGCTAACATGAAGCAACAGCACCCAAACAATACTCATTTATTTTTGGTTAGAGAGACAAGCACTTGAACTATGTTCGTTTATTTTTGGAATTTAAAATATTTGAGGGGTCCAGGTGAGGTGGCTCTGCCTGTAGTCCCAGCACTTTGGGAGACTGGAGGGTTGCTTGAGCCCAAGAGTTTGAGACCAGCCTGGGCAACGTAGTGAGACGTCATCTCTTCAGAAAATCAAGAAATTAGCCAGGTTTGGTGGTCCCAATTCCATGGGAGGCTGAGGCAGGAGGATCACTTGAGCCCAGGAGGCTGAAGCTACAGTGAACCAAGATCATGCCACTGCACTCCAGCCTGGAAGTGAGAGCAAGAGACCCCGTCTCAAAAATAAAATGTTTGGATTAGTAGTCAGTCTGCTGGTTGACACTAAGACAAATAAAGTATTTAAAATGAACACCAACCAGTGATGTGAGGGGAGAGTGGGGCCTGAGCACTGCTTTGGATTTGACGTCCCCTCAGCCTCATTTCTATCTTGGGTAAACCAAGGATAGAGCTGCTGCCTGACCTCAGAGAGGCAAAGCGAGAAGCAAATGAGTTAATGTAGCAAAAGGGCTTTCTAAATGCCAAAGCACTCTACTCATATTAATTCTTAATTACTTATATTAATTCTTAATATGCATTCAGCCATTAAAACAGTGGGTCAGGCTATAAAAGACATCACTGGGCCAAATGGCAACATTGGATGTGGATAGTAAATGAGATGAAGGTATTGTATTCACATTAACATTTCCTGAAGTTGATAATTGGCTTGTGATCATGTAAGAGAATGGCCTTGTTCTTAGGCAGTGGTTCCCAACCTTTTTGGCACCAGGGACCAGTTTCCTGGAAGAAAAATTTTCCACAGACCTGGGTTGCGGGGATGGTTTCAGGATGAAACTGTTCCACCTCAGATCATCAGGCATTAGATTCCCATAAGGAGAGCACAACCTGGGGACCCCTGTTCTTAGGAATTAACGCAGGAGTATTTAGGAACAAAGGGGCATGGTTATAACTTATTCTCAAATGATTCAAGAAAAAGACATAGTGACATATATATATCAGACGTATATGCTGACGTATTTATATAGAGAGAAAGATGAGAATAACTCATCAGGTAAATGAGGCAAAATACAAACAATTGATCCTTCTGTGTAAAGGGGTGTGTGAGTTCCTTATATGTTCTTGAAACTTTTAGTTTCCCCCCTCAAAATATTGTCATCTTAGTATTCATTATGGTTATTTGTTTTATTTCTCAATTTAAAAAAACCGTCAGATGGCTGGGTGCGGTGGCTCACACCTGTAATCCCAGCACTTTGGGAGGCCAAGGCAGGCTGATCACGAGGTCAGGAGTTCGAGACCAGCCTGGCCAGCATGGTGAAACCCCATGTCTACTAAAAATACAAAAAATTAGCTGGGCGTGGTGGTGCATACCTGTAGTCCCAGCTACTCAGGAGGCTGCAGCAGGAGAATTGCTTGAACCTGGCAGACAGAGGTTGCAGTGAGCCGAGATTGCACCATTGCACTCCAGCCTGGGCCACAGAGCAAGACTCTGTCTCAAAAATAAATAAATAAATAAATAAATAACCAACCAACCATCAGACAAAGCTGGCAAATGTGGAGCCTAGTGCTGGGGTATATCAAGGATATCAGTATAATAAAAATGCAGGTGCCAAAAATGGTTATGGCTGGGCACAGTGGCTCACGCCTGTAATCCTAGCACTATGGGAGGCTGAGGCAGGTGGATCATTTAAGGTCAAGAGTTCAAGACCAGCCTGGCCAATATGGTGAAACCCCATCTCTAGTAAAAACACAAAACTTAGCCAGGCGTTAGTGGCATGTGCCTATAATCCCAGCTACTCAGGAGGCTGAGGCAGGAGAATCACTTGAGCCTGGGAGGCAGAGGTTGCGGTGAGCCCAGATTGTGCCATTGCACTCCAGTCTGGGCGAGAGAGTAAGACCCTGTATCAATAAAATAAAATAAAATAAAATAAAATAACAGTTGTGTCTTTTGAGCTGTGTGTAGACCTGATTTAGAGAGGCTGCTGAGACAACCCAATCCGTTAGTATTAACTACTTGCAAAACCTAACAGAGAAGTAGGGTCAGGGCTTACTGTGGCTGGTGGCGGAGCCAGTCGTGCTGCCCTGAGGATTAGATTTTGATGCTGAGGCTGCAGTGGAGCAGGCCCTAAGCCCACCTTCCTAACTGGATTATCTTGGATTACTTACTTTCTTGTGCCTTAGTTTCCCAGTTTCTAATTCTAATTCTTAACTGACAAAGATTTTAAGATGACTAATTAGGTAGTTTGTGTAAAGGACTTCAACACTGTGCCTGGCACTCAGTGATCTCCAATAGTTAGCTGCTGCCCGTGTTCTTTTCTCTTCTTCCTCCTCCTCCCCCACCCTGATTCTCTCTCCCCAAGTCTGCTGATGATTTTTCTATTGTTCCCCCCATCTCAAAATATGACCGGTAAGAAGCTTTACAAGATGGTCTGAATATGCACAGGGGCCAGCAGGGAGCCAAATTCACTGAGTTTCCTCCTCCTTCCTTCTGTTCATTCATTCATTCATTCCCTTATGCTACAGGCATTTGTTGAGCTTCCAGTGTGCCAGGCAAGTGGCAAACATTTCTTGAAAAGTTCAAAAGCAAACAGTCATTATGCGTTTGATAGCCAGTTACATTTTGAGTGACATATAATATATTACCTGGCATAGTGCTATTTTGTGCATCAAGATTGGTCCGGTTGAGGCCAGGCACAGTGGTTCACACTTGTAATCTCAGCACTTTGGGAAGCCGAGGTGGGCGGATCACATGAGGTCAGGAGTTTGAGACCAGCCTGACCAACATGGTGAAACCATGTCTCTAATAAAAATACAAAAAAAAAAAAAAATAGCTGGGTGTGGTTGTGGGTACCTCACAGCTACTCAGGAGCCTGAAGCAGGAGAATCTCTTGAACCGGGGAGGTGGAGGTTGCAGTGAACCGAGATCACGCCACTGCACTCCAGCCTGGGCAACAGAGTGAGACTCTGTCTCAAAAAAAAAAAAGGATTGGTCCACTTGATATGCTGGAGTAAGATGAGTTCCTAAAGGGCCTCGTGACTTACAGATTCCCTTCCACCTGGACTGATTAAAGAGCCACCAAGAAAAGTTATTTGTCAAATGTAGAGCTTTGCCACTCGAAGTGTTGCCCACAGACCTGCAGCATTAGAAGCCTGTTAGAAACGTAGAATCTCAGCTCCCTGAATTCAGACCTCCTGAATCAGAGCTGCATTCTAAAAAGCCCCCAGGTGATTATGTGCTCGAAAGTTCAGGAACGCTGCTGTAGAGTATCATTTATTATCACCATTGCTGTTATTCACTAGTCAGAAAGAATCTATGAGTTGTCAATTTGACTTTTATGGCCAATTAAGCTCTTTTTCTTTTTCTTTTTTTTTTTCTTTTCTTTTCTTTTTTTTTTTTTTTTGGCACCAAAAGAGAGGAAGTAAACACAGTCATCTTATTTGTGAGAACCCAGTTTTTATTTTTAGTTCACCTGCATCTTCCTTTCATTAAGAAAATAGTCTTAATAATAGGTAGAGCCAGCAAAAAAGGGCTCAGTTAGACACACATTCTGCAAACCTCAAACCTCTTTTACTGCCATGCAGCTGAGCTTCAAATGACAACCTGCCTTTGAGTTTTGTAATCACTGAACTCCCAACACCCAGCTGTGATAGAGCTGGTCGCTTCTAGCCAGATAGTCCCAACAGTGGGGACCTGCACAGGCCTCCTCTTTTAAGATGGAAGCTATTCTAAAGGGGCCATTTCCTTCACAAATACTGGTAGATTAAATTTGAACAATAAAAGATTTAAATTATGTAAAACCTAATATAAAAAGCTAAAAAGAAGTAGCAGTCTTTTAAGGTCTCATAGAAAATAAGTGCTTTTTCTTGCTAATATTAGACCTTGTTATTAGGTTCTTAGTATTTTAACTTAAAATGACCAGCCATTTGCCTAAGCATTACTTGGTTTTAGGTAGACGGCCTTCCCATTTTTAGACGTGCCAAGGTTTTCCTGTTTTCCGCAGAGCCCGGAGCCAGCTCTGAGGAGGTTCCCAATTGGCAGAGCCGAGTT